ATTCGTGGGGAGCGCTTTTAATGTGCGATTGCACACTAAGACGTGTCCCGGGGCCTTGTTTGGCTTCAAGCGTTGGAGCACTCTTTTCACCACCTCTTTGGTAAATGGAGTTGGAGGGGAGTCCGGCTCTGTTTCTGAGGCTACAGCGGCTCTCGTCTCGGCAATCTCGTCTTCCGTGGCGATGCTGAATGGCGTGAATCGCACCTCGAGGTGGGCAGCAAAGGTTGCAGCCTGCTCTGCGTCTGAGCGGCACCTGGCGCCGTCACTTCTTTTGAGGGGAGCCTGCCTCAGAGGTTGGCGTTTTGTGCCGCGTGCCGCCTTTCACAGCGAGAAATCCGCGTTATGTTGGGACGACATGTTCATCAGCATGTCGTCAAAATATCTTGCCCGTTGCACTTGAAGCTCCCGATGCAGTTCGTCAGCGATTCTGCGCCAGTTCGCCTTGTCGCCGGGGTGTCGAGTGCGCGACCAGATCTTACGAAGCCTTCTTTTTTCTCTAAGTAGGATTAACAGGTCCGGCGAGAGTTTGTAAAGCCCGTTGCGGTGGCTGCATTGACTGGGTAGAGGACGCTTGGCTTCAGCTGCTGCAGTCCGCACCCTTTCGGCGAATCCGTTAAGAGCGTCGTAGATGTCCTCTGCGGAAGCTATATCCATGTCCGGGTAGATGATGTCGTTTAGCTTGCGCCTGAAGACATTTATATTGGTCTGCCTGTCGATGATCCTTTCTAGCGTTGGGTAGTGTCTGGCGGCGGTATTGATTGAAATTACCAGCGGCAAGTGGTCGGAGCTCAGGTCAGCACGAGATTCAATGCTGAGCGTCCAGTGTGGGAGACCCCTGTATATTGCAAAGTCGAGGCAGGAGGGTCTGCGGCCAGCCTGTGGTGGGAACCTCGTGGGGCTGCCAGTGGCTAGACATTCAAAGCGCGCGTCGTGCATGAAATCGGTGAGCTCACGTCCCCTGGCGTTGCTGCGGCTTGCCCCCCAAAGCTGATGGTGTGCGTTCCAATCACCGCCCAGTAAGCACTTTGGATCGAGGGTGCTGAAACGCTGGCAGAGCTCATTGGCTGTCCATCTGAAGCCGGGCTGGCAATATATGGCGCCAAATTCGACGTCTCCAGAATCCGTTGAGACTATTGCAGTGTCCAGTTGCAAGTCGGCTTCGCGTTTGGGGGCGGTGGAGAAGTGCGAGATTACACTGCGGATAAGAATTGCTGCGCCACCCCAGCGTCGTTGAGCGGGGTGATTCGCTGGGTAGGAGGAGTACTCAGGAATGCGGGGAGTCTCCAGATCACGCATGTGGGTTTCCCTTAAAAGTGCGATATCTACCTTGTGGAGCTGCATGTAGAGTTGCAACTAATGGATTTCGGCTGGGACGCCGCCCGCGTTCCAGCACAGGACCCTGAGGGTGCTCATTTTGAAAGAAGCACGCTAGGGAGCTCGAGCATGCGATTCTGCATCTGCATGTTCGCCTCTTGCATCTTGAAAAAGCTCTGCATCGATGTGTTTAGAGCTTCGATTGCTTCGTGAACTCGACCCATGGGAGGATGATTTTCGGTGCGGTTTGTGGGTAACTCTTGTGGCCCAGGCTGTTGTTGAGCACCACGGTGTTGGCGAGGCGTTTGTTGTTTGCGTTGGTGTTCCTGCTCTTGAAAAAGGTTAGGTTGTCGTTGCCGAGGGTCCTGTGTGGGAGCGATAAACTGTCCAACAGTTGGCCATTCGTCTTGCATGGAGCTGTTGCCACGAGCGACTTGGGCATATGTGTGGCCTGTTGTAGGGCTGGAGGCTGGGGCAAGAGGGCGTGAAGAGCTTGCCACTCTATTCTTTATCAGAATGTCAGAGGCCTTATTTCTATGCATAAAAATATTTATATGGCTATCACTTCCTTCGATTCGGATATAATCGAATTTTCAGAAACATGGTTAAATTCAACCATATCTGATTGTGAAGTTTTTTCGAGGGGGTGGAGTTTTAACTGCCGTTAAAGCCACTTGGCCATAGCCAAGTCAAACTTCCTTTTTCTGAATTCTCAGTGCTTTGAGAATTATCTTACTCGTTACAAAAGGCAATTTGCCCAGAATCCGAGACAGTCTTACAATTATGTAAACTTGAAGCGTAAATCTTCAATTTTGCTATCTTACTTTTCTCTCGAGATTGATATAGCTAGCGATGATTCTGATGCTGCTAGCATCTTTGTTATTTTTTCCAATTAACATAATCTCCTGTCTGTCCTAACAATACCCTTACAGTATTTCTTCTCTAGTTCTATACTTGCTCCCATTATTTACCATTCCTCTCTCCTTTCTGCTGTAAACTCTTTAAAACAATATTTCTAGTTGTATACTCAAGGAGTGTATTGCTTTCCTTCTTCGTCCGTTCTAAAACTATTTAATCTATCCCTTTAATATTTTGTCTTTCCATCTTTTCGGAAAGAATCTTAAGTCATTTTCTTCGTAAAAGAAATTCCACCCGTAACAGTTGTAATTTGGCGAAAAACGGTTATATGAAAGTTTTTGGTTTACCACCCGATCGGCCTCAAACTAATTTTTAAAGATCTTTGTTCAAATTCATTTGTTGGGTGTTTCTCATTTTTTAGAAAATCCATTCCTCCTTGGTGGAAATGGGGGTCAAAGATTTGGTGGGTGACGTTTCGCGCTCAAATTGATATCCAAGGATCTAAGTATATAAAAAATCATTTGGAACATGTTTCACATTTTTCGCAAAATCAAAGCTTCCTCCGAGGAAAGTGCGATTCAAAAATTTGTTGGGTCAACTTTTAAATTTTCCACCTTGCCTTAAACTTATTTTCAAAGCTCTACATAAGAATATAACGAATACGTGTTTAAGCGATTTGGAAAATTCCACCTGCAAAAGTGGTAAATAGGCGGAAACAACATAGATATTTTTTATTTGAATCAAAATAGGTCCCCACAGTAAACAAAAAAATTAGAATATAAATATTTCATTTAGGTCTTTTAAGTTTTTATTAAATAAAAATATATCAGGTTCTCATTATGCCTGACTGGACAAAGAATTACATGATAGAGCATTTAAACGTGTGTGCCTTTTGCAACCATAGTCACAAAAGGCACACAATTGAAAAAAATATATATCTGGCTCGCGACAAACGCCGTGATCTACTTGTGCGCACATCCACACTACACGAACATATGTATGTTTGTAGATCTCGGGGTTTTTTGAGGAGCTATGCAGGGAGAAAGAGATGCACACAAGTGCGCAAAGCAATGAGTGAGACCGAGACCATTGTATGGTTAGTGGTTTAACATAAGAAGCTGTTGAAGGCACAACATAAATGCATTTGCATCAGAGCTGATGATATTTGGAGCTGATATAAACACGCGCCAAAAATCATGACCTCTAACCAGTTTTTGCTCGTTCGACGTTTAAAATCCCAATCATCTCTTAAGCAGAGCAAACTATAAAAATCTTTAAAAGCTACTACCCAGGCATATACATAGCTTATGATCGGGGCAGCCTGTTGTTGGAAGTTGCTCCCGTCCAACGGGTTTCCAACAACTAACCTTGTAAGTATAGATTTCGCTTATCTGTACAAAAGAGTGAACAAGCTGGTACAAAACCTTCTAACATATTTCTGGCAACAAGTTATTTTTCATCAGGTTTAGTAAGCCTGTTGACAGCATCCAAAATGGAAATCCAAAGATAAATTGTTTTTAGAAGCTTTCGCAGTGCCAGTTCCAAATTTAAAGCTTATGAAACACATTAAAAACATAAGTATTCGCTTTCGATTTTTATTAAGATTCAAATTTGTTTGAATTAAGCAATATTGGCACTTTTAACAAGGTCGGCAACTTTTCTGATTTCTTCATTAAGGTAATGCCCTAAAATTGTTTGTTTTAGTTTTCCGTAAGCTACTGATATCATTTTTGATGCTCATCATATCATATTATATCAAGTATAATACTGGGTTGGGCAATAGGGCAACATTTGCTTTCTATATTTTGTTAATTGTTCTTTATTTATTTTTCAGGATATTTCACTTTACTTTTTAAGGTATTTTTCAGGATATTTCACTTTACTTTTTAAGGTATTAAAATTAACATCATTATTTTGTCCGTTACTAGAAACATTCAAATAATTTTCGATAAGAGAAATGCGCCTCAAAATATCATGATATGATTGTGCAAAGCCCGAAACAAGATTTCTTATTTCCTTATTTTCAGCTTCCAGTACTGCAATTCTGCTTATAATTTCCAAACTTGAAGAAGCGTCAATAGTAATGTCGTCAATCTGAAAAAGTTTAAAATATAATTTTTGTAGTTGGAGGTATCCATCCAAGTGTTTTTGTATGTATGTTTATAAAGTATATTACATTAATTTTCAAAGTTTTCTAAAAAGCATTTATAAATCTTTTTTAAGTAGCTCGACTCATCGAAATTATATAAATATATAAGTTAACACATACGGCCAGGCATAATTCACCGACCCGGTGATCATGCAATTTACAGACACTTGTGTATGATCAGCTACTTTAGCAAGTTTGTCACAGTTATGCTGCCGTCAACATCCCATGCGCCGACGCCCGAAATCCAATCCCCTTCAACATAAATGCTGCCTCAGCGATTATAGGTCAGGGCTAGCTTCAATATAAGAACATTTTGTATTTTAGTTTTTAGTCTGTTTTGAGCAATAAACTAGAATGGTTAACATTAATAAGTATTAACTTATTTGCATTTTTACCATATCTCACATTGTATCGTAGGAGTTTTTTTTATGACTTGACTTTCTTTAAGTAGCTCCCTTTGTTATTAAAATGTATTTTATATATAGCTTGCATCAAGCAGACGTTTAATTTGATACCTGTTTCTATTCGGTACTTTTTGTTAGCTGATTACAAAAACTGCACTTCAAGCGTCGCCTTTATACAAATCAATTTACACACAAATCAGAGAACTCTTTCGTCTGTTACATACATTTGGGAAGCACCATTATACTCCTTTTATCCATTTTTAATAGACTTTGGATATTTGTATTATTATTTCTTTTATTAAAAAATAGATAGGCTCACAGCATAGAAGAGGGAGGCACTTTGACCCTAACAAAGTTTATTGAGCCACAAACCCATCTATGACAGCAAGAGCAAGTCCAAGTACCTAATGAAGGTGAGCAGTGGGCAGGCAGCTTGCCACTGCAGGCCTTATCTTCCACAGATCAAGGATTGACATTCACAAACAATAAGTTTTGTAGTTAAATCATCTTTCCTACAGCCTCTGCTTCAGAGGACAATTGCACCTCACCGCGTGGTGGATTCGAACCAGGACGCACATCTTCGAATAAAGCACTTTATCCATTAAGCTAGGGGAAAGAACCACAAAACGCTGAACTCACAAGTTCATCATGTTTTCAAGGACTGTCGCATAATCTAAATATCCTTCCTGCACAGCGGCTTGTTTACGACGTGGTGCTGAAGCAGCAGCGAAATCACTCTGGTAACATTCACCAGTTAGATACATCACGCCCATAAAGAATTCAGGCTCAGATAACGACTTAAGAGACCAGAAATGGTCATATTCGCCATAAATGGACTCGACAGTGCCTGTCACTGTAGCTTCAAAAGATGGACATCGTATTGGAATAACTTCAGATGATACAAGTTGTCCCATGGTGCCGGATCCAGCATAGTTGACTACTCCAGACTTGTGGCATTATATCCGCTGCATTCTGAAGAACACTTGGGTTTGGTTGGGCTCCATCTGCTCGACGACGTCTTCCTTCTCCTGCTTCACGCCATATAGCTCCAGGAATTGGGTTTCTTTCGAAGAAACGGCGACGAATGTTCGCGGCGATTGCGTCCGTGGCCATTGCCATAACGGTCGTACGCAGATTTGCAAATCTCACGTTTGACGGATCGGTAGGTCGGCATACTCCATAGCGTGGTAGATACGCTGTAGCCGGTAGTTTAAGATAACCGATGGAGTGGATCAAATTGATCAAGGGTGCTATTCCTGCATCTAGGCCTAGGATGGCGCGTCCAAAATTGTCGGGCACGTCAGTATAAACGAATTCTTGTCCTCCTACATTACGACAACATTGCCCTTCCATTGCACCATTCAACTTCATATCTAATTGTAATAGTGTCACTCGATACAACGCGTGGCATAAGGGTAACAGATTAATGTTTGGCATCTGTAGACGAGAAAGCTTTGATATGAAATGGCGAATAATGAAACCAACAGCTCTAGAGGTAATTGGTAGAACTATGGTACGGGGAGCAAGAGAGAGAGGTATCGATTTGAGTGCAGCGCTAACATTTTTATATACATAGAATAGTTGATCGTAAAGTGCCTCTTTCGTATCCTTATCATTCTTCGTCGACATAACCCCGCGTTTCTTTTCCATGCGGGTAAAGTCACGTGTTTGCTTATTCTTCGAGAATTTCTTCTTTGCTCCCATATTCGCAGGCTTCTCAGCCAGAGCGTTTGAGTTTGGAGCGTTTGAACAATATGACGGGATAGGCGTCTGAGGTCCACCCTGCAAAGTTTAGACGATGATTTGTTTAGAGATAGTTTTGGTAAAGCCTCCGCAGTTTTACAAGGATTGCTTGATTTGCTATTTGTATATTAACACTCTTTGGTGAAAATATCATCTCATTTGTTTGAACTTCATTTATCAGAGCGTCACATACATGATAAAACTTTATATGCGTGTGCTTTCTAATTGCATTCTTATTCTTACATTTTGGGAAAAAAATACCAAATTTTAAACTTATATTCTCGATCACATTGGACTGGGCTAATTTGAAGCCGAAGTGTCTGAAAAATGATAAAACCGGCAGTGGCCTTGGACGCCGACAGTAGTTCATTGATGGACTCAAAACTGAACGGGAGAATCTTGAACCTAATACTGGAAGTCCTATTCCTATAAGTATCTTGCCTGCGTATTAATCTGAGATTCACACCTTTGAGGTCTTATTCTAATAAACGTGGAAGAAGGTCAATAGCACCAACATTTATATCTTTACGGATAGCCAAACTGCCATTCTGGCTCTCCTCACAAAGGATAACCTCCAAACTCCAGAAGACTGTTGGAAATGTCGCCTTTAGCTCACTATAATACTTTGTTCGATCCCTTATAACGCCTGTATCTTCGGTGACGAACTAGCCGAGAAGCTCGCAAGAAAATGGTTAAGCTCCCCCATGTTGGATAAGAGCTCTTCTATGGAATCCAGTAACCGCTTCCACTCAATCTATGGTGACACCCAATTTCTATAATGAATCCGACAAGATATGGTTCTACTGTTTCCTTGCGAAGTTTCGGAAAAATAAGTTTTTAAAGAGATGATTCAAGACATTTTGTCAATTATCTGACAGGGCACCACTCAATTAAATATTATCTCCACAAAATGCACCTCTGATATAGAGGGTAGGCCGTGCTTGAAACGAAGCAACTATTTAGCAAATTTTTGGGTTGGGAGGAACCATATGAGCAAGGAGTTTGTAAACCCAACCCAGATAAGGGGTTTTTGGCAAGAGTACCCTTCATAAGGGAGGCGAGCAACTCTAGAGATCCCCAGGCACAATAAGCTATCTTGCTCGCAGGACCATTCCTCTCTTTTACAAGACTCCGCTTTACATTACTATTATTACAACTAACGTTGTATTTATCAGATATTCCTGAGAAATAAATAGATATACACATATATATACAGATTAAACCCATCAGATTAAATCCATCCCGTCATATCGGTTAGCAGCTTTGTTTGTTGGAGCTGCCCGTAATATGATACACCTCACGAGCCGCAAGCTCAGCGCTATCCCGGACACAGAAATCGATTCAACTCTATTTGTGATAATGTATTGCATTCTAAATGCGCGGGTTAAGGTGTGCACTTGTGTAGGGAGATTGATGGCGAAATGCGGGCGTTTATGCGGCAGACCAGCACCTACTTTAGGGGTCTGATCGTTGGTTTTTGTAAAATAAATGAACACACAGCCCTGGATACTCAATAGCCTTAGCCTGATGGATGAGTCTTCTGGGCCTAAAAAGTCCACTCCTTGTGACTTGCCGTTGCCAAATACCTTTCAGCCTCCGAATGCAATTCAGCAGCCTTATACCACGATCATACAGATTCATTTGTTACTCCGGTAGCTGTGAGGTCTACTGTGGACACAAGTTCAGTTCCGTAACGAGTGACATCGGTACGAGAAGCACCAATCGTTTTGTCCATGTCGTCTGAAGTCGTAGAAATTCATAGAGTCCACACTACCGATTGTTTTAGAGCCCACAGCTGATAGTACTCTCAATACCACACCTGTGATGCCTAAGCCTCTAGTGGGCTTTCTACCGAAAAGGGATCATTTTATTTCTAGGCTTGCCCCTCATTTCTCATCGGATGATGTTAAAGGTAAAAATTCAAGCCTCTGGTAAAACGGTGGACAAATTTAAGATGAGATTAATATAATATCCTTTAAAATAAATTTTATCTTCTATCAACACCAAATGCAGGACGCACTACGGGCTCGTTTGCTTTAGCAGGAATACAAATAGATACACAAAAAAAAGCTTCCTCGATAGGACTCGAGCTCGTACCAGACCGTACTACATGCAACCGCCACACACACAGCACACAAAAACAATACAATCGAAATTGCAATGCGCTTTGCGGTAGCCGCCGCTTACACGTGGCCTGACAATATATATATAACAACACGTTTTCTTTAATAACTTCTCTGTTTCTAAATCGATCTAGATAAAATGTTTAATTTTAGATCTTTTTGTACTATGGAATATTTGTGTATTCTCAAAAATATAATTGCAATAATATTGTGGCTTAAGTTTTTTTTGTTGATTACTTGGAAACTCCAACTTCGCGGGCACTAGGAGGACTTACTTTCCAAATCGCAAGTCTCTATCTATTATAGGTTCTGAGATCGTTGCGTTCATACAGACGGACAGACAGAAGGACATCGACTTGGCTATTGATGCTGATCAAGAATATATATACTTAATTGGGTCAGAGATGCTTACTTCTGCTTCTACACGGTATACAAATTTGACTTCGAGTTTAAGTTTATGATCAAGAATAACACCTTAATCATTAACTTTATTTTAAGCACCGTTGACACGCTCGAGCGATGACCATTCCCCGACACTGTCTCACTATCAAGATCTAAGGTATGATAAAGATGTAAAGTTCTTCTTTGCATATAAATATATGGCATCGTGTATTCTTTTACAAGCCGACATTGATGCCGTTCAGTCTTAGAGTCAAGACAACCTGTTGAGGCAATGATATTCTATAGAAGCCCTCCTCAAATGGTTTCTTTCATAATTGATAGCCTACGACTAGAGCGTGTCAACAGTACCAGTAATGAAGTTAACAATGAGAAGAAATTAAAGGGGCAGGGCTTAAGTCCGCAGGCAGGAAAAAGAATGAATACTTCTGAGCCGTATTCCGGGCAAAGGTGGCAAAGGGTAAACCAAGTAGCTAAAGAGGCTTTTTATTTTTCAGTGGAAGGTCCCTGCTGACGGACGTACATCGTAATGTTGTGGGGTATAGATGAAATTCTTATTTCATAGGGGCTCGTCCGAAAAATTACATATAACGCTTCTCGCAAATAAAAACCGTATTCCCTGTAAATTTCATATTCACAATCCTTTCCATTCACGGATCAAATAATGCCACAATAAAACGCTTTTAAAAATATTTGGCATTAGCTGCCCATACTTCTTGTTAAACTCACTAGCAACCTTCGAATGTATCATCGGTCTAGATCATTATCTTAAATACCAGCGAAATTATTAGAATTTATCAGAAAAGATACAATCTCATAGATGCAAAAATGTAAACTTTATCAAAATTAATGATTTTGACGCATCTTGAAAACGTGACAGATCAAGTCGAACACGGCGATTGTTAAAAATGGTCGTGGCAAACATGAGAGTGACCCAAGGAAAGTCCAAATTTGTTTAGAACTAGCATTGAATTAGTAGGGTTCGTGGTGACTTGCGTCGGCACAGAAACGAACCTCGAAAAGATTAGAGCTATAAAGTCCATTGGACCGAAAACCTTGTTCGACCTCAGATCAGTTTTGGCTTTAGCCAGATTTTACAAAAGTTTTGTCAAAGACTTCGTTCAGCTTAGAGGCATATTGGTCTTTAAAAACGTCCTGCTCAGACTCAGACTATAATAAACCGTTTGAATTAACGATCGTAACGTCAAATTTTGGGATATGATCAGTTCTTTCCCAAAATAACCGCCCTGATACTATGTTATCGCAAACATTAAAGGAAAGTGAATCAAAATACGCAGCAAATAAGAGAGAGGTTAGCTATCGTTTGGACCTTAGCAAATCTCAGTCAATACTTAAACGGACTAAGATATATAACATAGACACTTACCATCCCTTAAGCCTTAGCATATACCGTCCCAGAAAAGGTCTCCAAAGCAAAAATTAAGCGCTGGAAAGCTCGTTTCGATAAATATTGAAATGAGATTTTCTACAAACCAGTGTGACAAGTCCGATGCATCCACTATCCACAGTTCATTGCGACCTTCCTATACTACTGTTATTTTTAGATAATCGTGCTCGAACCTTTCTTCGCTACGAAGTTCCGCCACTGCAAAAACATTGTGTCAGACATTTTAGACACTAACAAGACGTGTGAGATTCTCGAAACAGAATACAGCGAAGTCATAGGGCTGCTCATGAGAATGTGAAACACTCCGATTGCTATTTTCCCAAAACGAAAATAGCCAACGAAATTGATCTTTACTGCAATCTTGCCCCGTTCGAAGCCGAAGCCCCATCGATTGTTCAATGCCGAACAAGCCTGGCAGGAACAGATAAGAGCCAGATTTCGAAAGAACAGAATCGAATATTCGAGGCACGAGACAAGGACTCGGAAATTAGTTACCATTTTGTGCATGAAGCACAGTCTTAATTAAGGGGAGGGTGGTCAACAAGAACAACTTAATATAAATACCGGACGTAACATTAGTTTTATTTTTGTAATAATTTAAAAATGTATCATTCTTTTTTAATATCTCACGCAGGGAGTCGGTAATATTCGGATTACCTACTATTCCAATGGTAGATGCTGAAATATTAGTTTGGATCCAACAACATTTCTTAAGGTACTCGCTGATATCTGAGTTCCTTCGTGCAATGGATTAAACCTCTCCACAGTCTCACATGCGCAATCTATTAGACATAGTTGTCGATAATATGAGAAACTTGTTGCCGTTGTTGACGACACAATATGAAAAATCTTGGCAGGCACTCCTGATGTCTCCGATTTCGAAAAAATTAAGTGGTCAGAGAAACAATTCATAAGGTCAAATAACAGGCAGGTAGTGATTAACACCAAGGCCCAGGATCAGCACAACCGTATGACGAACACCATAAATCAAATCCTTGAAGTGATAACCCTAATGCTCACAATAACTCTTGTTAAGGCAAAGATAAAGAAAACTGACTATCTTAGATCACGCTGATTTTAAGTCTATGCTAGATTAGCAGTTAACAGGCATCCCTGTTACTAGCTCAATGCAAGTATCTAATATTAAGATATTACAGTCCGATAGCAATATCCATTGCATTATTGAATATTGAAGACCAGGAGCAGTGTAATTGATGGAATAGGAATTTGCGTGTTTATAAGCAGGCCGATCTTCCCCTGACAACACATACGGAAAAGATAAGAAGCTAACGAGTTACAGGAGGTGGTGATACCATTTGTCACGGCCGAGAACGCTCACGCTTCAAAAGGATGGAGAAGTAAACAATTAACTATGCGAAGTCTAGTTGGGTAGGAGTTCGAGGACTTAACCCATGCGTCATATATACCCGCCGACTCTAGCTGTAAGAATCAACTCTATTTAGTTTTCAATTCAATACAATTACATCAACTAATTGATTAATAAATATATCGTTCCGTAACCGGTCTAGTGATTAACACCAAGGCCCAGGATCAGCACAACCGTATGACGAACACCATAAATCAAATCCTTGAAGTGATAACCCTAATGCTCACAATAACTCTTGTTAAGGCAAAGATAAAGAAAACTGACTATCTTAGATCACGCTGATTTTAAGTCTATGCTAGATTAGCAGTTAACAGGCATCCCTGTTACTAGCTCAATGCAAGTATCTAATATTAAGATTTTACAGTCCGATAGCAATATCCATTGCATTATTGAATATTGAAGACCAGGAGCAGTGTAATTGATGGAATAGGAATTTGCGTGTTTATAAGCAGGCCGATCTTCCCCTGACAACACATTCGGAAAAGATAAGAAGCTAACGAGTTACAGGAGGTGGTGACACCATTTGTCACGGCCGAGAACGCTCACGCTTCAAAAGGATGGAGAAGTAAACAAGTAACTATGCGAAGTCTAGTTGGGTAGGAGTTCGAGGCCTTAACCCATGCGTCATATATACCCGCCGACTCTAGCTGTAAGAATCAACTCTATTTAGTTTTCAATTCAATACAATTACATCAACTAATTGATTAATAAATATATCGTTCCGTAACCGGTCTAGTGTTTCATTATTCACTAACGCGGGCAGTATTATTCCCGTCTACGCGTGGTGGATTATTAATTATTATTTTAGGTTTTATGCCAATACATTACCTTCTCCAATGAGCTTTGTATATGCTCTCTAGCTTTCGCAATTTCGGACACTAAAAAGCTGCAGTTGTTCGGCTTGGTAACCTTAAAAAATATTAATTGAATAAATTAAAAAACATTACGAATAGGAAATATACATTTGCATTAATTTTTTCAATTTGCTATTAATCAATTAAAAAAAAAAACAAAATTGAACTTCTTATCTTCGCTTTGCCCACAATAGTAATAGAGCTCTAGCCGTGAGTGTCTTACTTGGAGATACCCTGATCCCCTGAACCCGTTACTGGGTAATAACGGGCTGCCGTTACAAACATTCGAGCCTTCTTACAGCAAAATACTAAATACCGTAAGTAGGGGAAACCTATCGATGATTGTGAACCCACCCATTTTTGGAGGCAGCACATAATGAAGAAATGAATATCGATTATTTTGACTAACGTTACTTATAAATATACATTTAGTTGATTTAATAAATTCATACTTAGACACATATGCATACTACAGCAGAGCACTTGGATGAGCGGGATAACTGCAGTAAAGTAATAAGAGTGGTTCAGTGACTCAGTTGCGCCGGATTTCAGCTGGTCACGCATAAAAATGAAACTGTGTACGAGCAGGGTAAGGCAGCACAATAAGGCCCCAGGCAAGAAAGAAGAATGCTGCTAACAAGCGCGACGAGATCAGATATATTGCATGCGCACCGATCTGAAGTCTCTGAAAGGGTAACTTAAGAGGCTACTTTAAGAGCTAGATTACTTGTCGGACATACAAAGGAGGGGTCCGATATGAAGAATGGGCGGCTTTTATAAGCTAACCTGGACTTTGTGGAGTATAACTTGCGTTGCATTTTAGACATTTGGGGCGATATTACGTCGCGTTTCGTACAATGTACCAAGTCTAATAGGAATCTATGGACCTCCTGGCACTTTCACCTGCACTTAAAAATCATATATACTCGCTGAGACGGGACCATAGATTATGCTTAGTGCAGCTTGCCTTTACATAGCTCCCCAGTGATTTCAGAACCTTCAGAATCAACGCAGTTGCTTTGATCGGCACAATGGCAACTGAAGGCATACTGCACCCATTAACTGAGGGGAGCTCTGGCGGGGTTTACGCAACCCTTCTGGGCGGAGATCTTTTTACGCTGTTAAATGTGCTTGGGTCATTCTATCAAGGGCCATTGGAAACACTGCCTGAAACATATATATAAAACGACGACCCGCGGTTAAATATGGCACAGTGAGCTTCTTTCTGATCCAATTCGTAAAAAGGCATTGTTGCTTCGAATAGAACCAACATAAGTTCCCAGCACCTGGAGAGTACGGTAAATCGTTGAAGAAAAGCACACCGATAAGGCAATTGCAGGGGCAATTGCTTAAGGGGTCTGATCGTTGGTGTCTTCCGGGAATAAAAAGTCCACTCCTTGTGACTTGCCGTTGCCAAATACCCTTCAGCCTCCGACTGCAATTCAGCAGCCTATTACCACGATCACATCGGTACGAGAAGAACCAATCGTTTTCTCCATGTCGTCCGAGGTCGTAGAAATTCGAAGAGTCCGCACTACCGATTGTTTTAGAGCCCACAGCTGATAGTGTTCCCACTACCACACCTGTGATGCCTAAGCCTCTAGTGGGCGTTCCACTGAACAGGCATAATTTTATTTCTAGGCTTGCCCCTCATTTCTCATCGGATGATGTAAAAGCCTTTATAAAGGCAAATATTCATATTTAGAAAATTAGTTCAAACATCTGTTGTAAAGAGTTTAGGCCGGAACATTTAATAGTTAAAGAATATAAGGCCAAAAAGATAAATCTGACTCCAATTTTATAACCGCCTCCATCCAGTGGCGTTGATGACTTTAGTCGCTGCGTCAAAAAACTAAATTCTTCTCGTGAGCTTTCCCATCAGAACGTAAGAGGTTTTAAATCTAAACTTGATAGCCTGTACGTAGATTCTCTTGCCTTAAATTTGCATGGTATCGCTTTCACTAAGACCTGGCTTACACCGGACTTCTCAGGATCCTCAACATTTACTCCCAAATACACTACTTATAGAGGAGAAGTACTCATAGCTGAGTCTGCTCTTTCGTCAGAACTCATTATACTGTACCATCTCTAAAATCGAGTTGTTGGTTGTAAAAGTTGTATTTGGAAGTTTATTTGTCTTTATTTCATGTATCTTATCCCCCACTATCTAACGTGTCCATTTTAATTCAATTAAATCTATCTGCACCCTTCTTTCTGATAAGGACCTGTGGTCGTTCTTGGCGACCTTTCTATTGCCCCCTATGTCAAATGAGTTTATTGATGGTCTACATGAGATGTCCTTACGGCAGGTTAATCCGGTGCGTAACTCAAGAGATACATCTCTTGATTTGATCTTCATGTAGGATTCATTGTAGGATGTCTGCAGCAGGCCTGTTGACGATCGAGTATATATCCATTTATATGGTAACACTAGGTTGAAAATATAGTTATGAATTAGAACACATTTGCTTGTTGACACATATTTAATTAATTGGACTAAGATGAACCCAAGTAAATAATGGTGGGCCAGAGTAAGGTCAGATAATAGATTGTGGTGGCTGCGGTTGTACCAGCGAATATAAGCAGGATTACTTTTGCGAATCAGCATCCGGTAAATATCGCCGCAGAGTGTGGGTCAGAGGCACACGGGGAGTCGCTTCTACGCTTGCACACGCGGTCAAGCAATCGAAAGCTATGCTCTTAATGTGAATGCCCAGGAATTGTGTTGTAGCTAATCAATTCATGAGAATGTGATGGAGATACCGACTTGATCTGATCGATCGGCTGACCTTCAGGGTACAGTATGTCGCGCAGAATGATTTGCAAAACCGAAGCGCCCTTGTAATTGGATTGCGGGTACAGCTAAAATGGACTTTAATGCACAACGCATAAGTCACAGGACCGAATAAGGTACGACCTGGGCGATCGCACTGACATATATTGACATTTATTTACTTGAAGAATATTAACCTAATCACTACGCATACTATAGACTGGAAGGCTACAACATTATTAACGTTATTGAATAGTTGCTATAGGTAGATCGGTGTTATTTTGAGATAATAAATTTATATGGCTCGATGGATACGTTAATAAATATCTGAATTATATACCGACTCAGCGACTGAATTTATAACTTTGGTTAATTCGAAGTGGCGAATAGAAACAGAAACACAGCAGCTGCCTGTCAGTTTATTTTTGGTGAAAATAAATAAATCTTGTTAAGCTTACATCCCAACAGGCAGTTACCCCTATCATTAGAAGATCATCGCACTTAAAGCCTAAGAGGTATTAATGTTAAGCTGTCTAATATTAAATCGCTTTTTGCAGATTACTTTTGTACTCTCATACTCTCGCCCTTTGCCTTCAGCGTTATAAAACAGGGGATGCAGAAGTCACAAAACTTATAAGCTTTGAAATTTTCTTCAGAGATATTTTCTTTCCTGTATTTCCTGTATTTCATGAATTGGAAAATTTGTCAACAAAATAAAACGCTATTTTTGCTGAGAGAAATATCTTTTATTCAGAAAGTCACTGAGCAATCAAAGTGCCTTTTAGTTAGAAACAGAAGATTAAAATCCTCAGAAAAGATCCAGAATTGATTATGCAAGGTAACTAAGTCTTGAGCACTATTTAAGGTGAAAATTATTTAGTTACAAGGTTTTTTTCCGATTTCTTCGGATTATAAATACATACTACACCCAGCATAATTCTACGATCTTTAAAAGAAATGAGCGTAAACAGTAGGGCAGAAAAATAATTGTTTCTGAAGAGATTTTACTCTAACTTGATAAAAATAGGAGTAACCATACAAGTTAACCACAGACTACCCGTCATCAAAGCTTACTTACAATGTATCGATGGCCAGCGGTATGCGCGTCGGCTAGCGGTGGAACCATTGCTGGCTGCGGAAAGCAGATTATACCAGCATCATTTAGTTAAGGAATCCCATTAAAAATAATACAGTATGTGTAAGTAATCTATTTAGCAAAATAATATTGCATTTTCAAAAAATTATAAAAAACAACCAACAAATAAAGGCAGTAAAGCTTACAGAGACCAGCCACTCCCCGCATTCCTGGATACTTCTCCCATCTACCGACCTGCAACTGGCCACTGCAATCGCCTCAACGGCTTATGGAAATGTCGAGTTTGGGGCCATATATTAGCCCAACGAGCTCTGTCAGCGTTTTAGTACCCTCGATCCAAAGTGGAACCCATACCACCAGCTTTGGGAGGACGTGAGCTCGCCGAGTTTATGGACTACGCGCATTTTGAATGTTTACCCACTGGCAGCCCTACGAGGTTCCCACCACAGGCAGGCCCCAGACCCTCTTGCCTCGATTTTTCTATATCAAGGGGTCTCCTATACTGAGCGCTCAGCATTAAATCTCGCCCTGACCTTAGCTCCGACACTTCGCAAGTCCGGAAAGGATCATCGACAGGCACAACAATATAAATATTTTCAATCGCAAGCTAAACGATACCACCTACCCGGACATGGATATAGCTTGCGGAGGGGGTATCGACGATGCTCTCAACGGATTCACCAAAAAGGAGAGGGCTACAGCAGCTGAAGCTAAGAGTCCACTACCCAGCCAATGCAGGCACCGCGTCGGGATATACAAACTCTCGCTGGACTTGGTAATCTTACTAAGGGAAAAAGAAGATAAGGCGAATTGGCGCAGAATCGCTGACGAACTGCATCGGGAGCTACATGTGCAACGGGCAAGACATTTTGACAACATGCTGGTGAACAACATAACGCGGAATTCTTGCTGTGAAAGGCGACAGGCGGCACAAAACGCCAACCTCTGAGGCAAGCTCCCCCTTGCATTCACAGATCTGTATATATAGCTAAATCGACTCGGCTATTGATGCTGATCCTTTGCATTTGCACAAATACATTACACTTTTACCCATTTTTAATGGGTGCAGGAAATAATAATAACGAACAAGTTGTAATAAATAAGGACATTATTGTAAGAATACACAAAATAACAAACTATTACAATTTTACAAAAATTTTTTTAAAATATTCCATTTAACAATACA